AATCAAAACACTATATCTGCCTATTTTTCCACATGCTCAAAAAAGTGCTTCAAAAAATTAGGATAATATTTCAGAAAGTTCATTGAAATTATATATTGATAACACATTTAGTTGTTATATTTGGACAAACTGTCATTTTTGCAAGCGTTTTAATCAAAACATCATATCTGCCTATTTCTCCACATACAACTTTTAGACTCAATCCTCATTTCGATGTGTTGGGTCACATTTGTTTACAATCCAAAGAAAGTCACGAACAACATGTGAGTTTGCCATCAAGTGTGTTCTCTTCAGTAAACCAGCAGAGCCGGTGGTCCAATCACAGCCGTGTCGTGTTTGTGATTCTGGCCCGTCAGCCGGCGTGTCCAAAGACAGGCCCAACCTTGAACACGGGCWAAAATGACAAGCTGCCCGTTTCCAGAAAGGAGACGTGGGCTCTGCGTGCTGACATGGCTGTGTGCGGAGCTGAAGCTAAATTTAGACGGACAGAAAGTGCAGAGCCGTAAAGAAGCATGCTAGCACCCGAGCGGGGGAACAGCTGGGAACGTGCGCAGTGTCGGTGCATGTGAGCCTTGCTGCAACGGGCCGAGAAAAGAGCCCCAGGTGCTGTTGTGTTGGGTTGTGAATGCCGAATGTAAAACTGCATGTAACACAATTAGTCAGCTCAGCTGTCTGTTGTGGAATACAAATTCTCTCCTTAAGTGGAATGAACTAACAAAAAGTTGCCTTTATGCCACATTTATCAATCCTGCTTTGTTAAATTAGTTAAAATAAGATTGAAATGTTATTGAAAACACACAAAAAAGAAAAAGACATTAATTAAGGCGTGCATAAGCAGATGGTGTGTAATATTTTTCTCGGTGGCTTTTTTAAAACAACAAGCCAAACCTGAAAAATAAACATATTTGCTCATAATGTCTGATGWCATGATGGGTGTCAACAGGCTCCGTCAGAACTTCCAGGGTTTTTGGCAGAATGAACCCAGACAGCACCCTGCTAACATTACGCAAGAGTTTTCACTGAGACTACTTTAAGTTTCTGCTTTTCTCTGATGTACCAGTTGATGTTACTGAACACTAAACACCTGCTCCTGCTCTCTTTGTAATTCTATGAATGTAAAAATTATACTTGACTTTTTGTGTTGTATGCTACTTATAAATTAAATAGCTAACACAGTTAACTTATATGGTACATCTAAAAGAAGGCTGTAGCAATACACTTAAGTCTAATCTAGACAATGAGTTAGGATTTGATTGTTTTTCATGTATTTTTTTTAAATTCTCATCGCATCTTGATAATAAGAAGCACTGCAACACAAAAACTGCTTCAGACACATCGTTGCGAGCTCTCACTGGATGCTAGACTTTGAGTTGGACTTGGCGAATCAAACCTCTTTGGCACATCTGTGGAAATACTAATAAAGAGCATTTTCTTTCGAGTAAAACCACTTTGAYACTGCATTTAGGTGTTTATTTGGTTGATTATTTTCTTTTATTTTTGAGAGATGGGATTATTCTCTGTCTTATTTGGAAGTTATGTTAAATAATCAGTATTTGATGTTTTACCCTGCTTGATTTGTGGGTCTGTATGTAGTAGGGTTAGGGGTAGGGTTAGGGTTAGAAGCTTAAACTCAAGTTTCTATTTGCCATCTCCGTTTGTCATGCATTTATATGTACTTATACACAATACTACCTACTAAGTACAAGATTAAGATAGGGAAAGATGATTTGCTTTGTTGTTTGGTTGTGCTGACCAAGAGAATCGTTACTCTYACTTTGTCTGTTTCCTTGCCCTTTTACCTTCAACACAAACTTCCTTTTTCACAATTTGATGCCTGTTTTTTTATTTATTTATTCTTTGTTTTGCCCCTGTGGACAAGTTGTTATTTTCTCTCTAGTAGACAGTCTATTGCTCCCCGGCGTCACCRGTAAAACAGTCTGCTCCTGAGACCATGCACCCCTCAACACTTTATTTGTTTATTTATCCATTTGACCTGTGTTTGCCTTCATCACATGATTTCTTATGTATTTTAAATGACACGGATTTACATTATTTCAGCTGGACAGCCTGCTCTGCTGGTAAGCAAGGAGAAAATCTCCTCAGCAGGATTATCACCCATTCTTTTCATCGAGCTGACACCAAAACTCTTCTTCCGGCGCCAGCTCACACTCCCTCTCTGCCGCATGCAACATCGCAACCTGCGTAGAGTGCTTTGATTATTNCAACATGACAAAGGCTGACATGCATAAAAGGGCTTGGACCCCGGTCATAACTGCTTTGCAGTTCTAGTTCCTATTATTTTCCTCTCACTTCCACCGAGTCAAACAACAGCAAAGCCACCCCCCCCCCCAACCCTCGAGGAGAGAAAGATGGCAATCTCCCAACCGCCGTTCCAAACCTGATGAGCAGGGAAATTGCTTCATCTCTGTCAGGCTCGTGCTTTCAAGTGCATCCCTCAGACTGGTACCACGGCCGCCAGTCAGACACAGTGAACAAAAAKAAGATAGCATCATCTTTACCTCGCTCAGAGACTTCGGTGGGATGCTGCTATTCCATGCGGCAGAAGGACTCCAATTCATTCCAGAAAGCCCGTTTTAGTCCCCAGTGTGTGTCGTGCCCCCTGCTTCCTCTTTCTTGTCCCTTTTTGGCGAAGAAGAGGCAGCATTCAAAGCATCCTTCTCTTTCACTCTGCTGCTGCAAGTGGAGAGCCGCCTTCGTGTTCTGGTCGATGGAGCGCTGGGGGAGAAGAAGAAGAAGAAGAAGAAGAAGAAGAAGAAGAAGAAGAAGAAGAAGAAGGAGAAGAAGAAGAAGAAGAAACGGACGCAGAGAGAGGACCCCTGAGCTCCCGGGGATTTATCTTCCTCCCTCTGTTCTTGCGCTCTCGCACGCTCCGGAACAGGCGAATGAGGGGAGACGTCAGAGTGGCGGCGGCGGTGGAGGAGTGTGTGTGTGTGTGTGTTTTCCTCTTTTATTTCTGCTTGCTCTCCCTCCCACCCTTCCTTCTCCTCCACCTCTCCTTGTATCTCTGTGTTTTCTCTCCGTCCACGGCTCAGGCTCAGGCAGGCCGTCCTGTCACGACGGCCGAGACGCGTGCAGGGACATCTGCGAATTACGCTGGCGGCGGCGCGGGYTTGGCGTGGTGGTGGTGGGGGGCTGGGGAGGGGGACTAAAGTAGCCGCTTAGCTGCGAGTGAGACCACCTTCTCCCTCCCCTTCCTCCGTGGCAGACATGGGCTTTCTAATGGCATGTACCACTGAAGCTGGGAGCAGGGTGGGCTGCAGCACTGATGAAGAAGAGGGGTGGAGGTGGTGGTGGGAGCAGGATTAGGGGAAAGTTGCTGAAAGAGCRGAAGCAGGTATAGGACAGGTCCAAAAGAGAGAGAACCGATGTACAGGGGGCTTGTTTAGTTCGGGATCTTCTTTGTTTGATGACTTTAGTGAAATCATCCCTCTTTCTTCCTGTAACTAGCACTTGTGCAAAATCTTTAGATAAACACAAAAACGCGTGCAGATTCTGAAAAAGCTACGACTGTGTTGCAGATAAAGCTTTTTGTACCTGACTGCACAACGGCAACACATGCACTTATCAGATTATTTCATTTCTCCATGAGAAGAAGACTAAATAGAGACCCCAGATGTGTCTTCTAGCCCGAGCAGTAGGTAGAGGTTCTCCAGCTTTGCCACTACATTTGCATCCTCCTACCATATAATTCCAGGCGTCGGCAAATGAACAGCTCGTGTGTTGTTGAGGTGAGACAGCGTCTGGGGTGTGAGAATCAGAAAACAAGCACCTCAGCCAGCTCAGCTCACCTCCGAGACCAGAGAGCAGACCTGGCTCTCCGCAGAGAGCTGGAACCGGAGGATTATGTCGCTGCATGAGGGAACCGCCGGGTTGGACATTACACCTGGCAAAAAAAAAAGACTACAGGGAAAAGGGAGAGAGGCAAAAAAAAACTGACGCAGAACAAGGCAATTTTTCAAACGACGAAGAAACTCATCCAGAGAGGTCTCGCTACACATTTGTTTTTAATTACGTCTGTTTTAACGCAAAGGCTACTTTGCATTTCTTGTCTCTGCAGTGGGATGAAAACAGCAKCAGCCGAGGGGGGATTTCAAATTTCTAAATTGCTGTTATGAGCACAGTCACTAATATGATGGTGTGTGCATCTGTAAGCCTTAATAACCTGAAGGGAAGCAAAAAAAAAAAAAAAAAACAGACAAACTTGCAGCTGTGTGCTACATTTCACTGCAGAGTGTCGTGCAATATTTTGAGCCTTAGTCTGTTAGTCGGTTTAAACCCGAATGACTGGAGGTGTATAAATCAAATGAGTGTGATATTGGTCAGGAGGGTTTGAAAAAGACTCAAGCAATAGAACTAAACTGTTGTTTTGTAWATATTTCTCACTTCTTTGCACAGAAAAATCTGACTATTTTTGTAGTCATAGGTATCATATACAGCAGATAGAGTCTCACTGTGGATAAGCCTGAACTCAGTCTGTGTATTTCCATCCTTTTTTAATTAAGTTGACAGCTGTTATCATATTAGGAGCCTTCATAAAGAGACAATTTATCAAAAGAAAATCAAACGGTCAGATTAAGTATGATGTTCACAATCATTACCTTACAAAGATCTGTCTGGATTATTGAGATGCATCAGGACTACTTGGTGAGAAAATATTTTGTGTGGAGATTGGTGAGTACGTTGGCTCAGTGTTTAGCACTGATACCTCACAGCAATAAGGTCCTGGGTTTGATCCCCGGTTCAGATGTAAGGTCTTCTGTGTTGAGTTTACATTATCTCCTTGTGCTTGTTTCCTCCTACAGAAAATATGTACAATAAGTTGCCTCCAGGCCTTCATTGCAAAAGAGATTTGTGATCTCAACAGGATTTGCCTGATTAAATAAAGGTTAAAAAAAAACAACTTTACATCCTATTGTTAATCTCCAGAAAAGTTGAACATAAAATAGCAATAACACAATTTTCACACTTTTTTTTGCAATTTATTTGTAGATGCAGCTGCCTGACACTTGTGRCTGTAAGAGAGGATTGAGAGACTACAGGGGTCTGTATGTTGTAAGATGTCGTATCTTGCTGACGTGGTTTAAGATGGTCTTTTTCTCATGGACTAATAAYACTTGAGGAGAAACTGTGGGCGAGAAGTCCGATAAAGCCAGGGTAAATGGAGGAGGAAGATCTTGTATTTCTRTTGTTAACCRRGGAGAAGCGATATTTTGTGATTTTGTCCCAGGAACTTGTCCATACACTGCGTGGCTCACTCCCTTGAAACACAAATTTGAGCCCACAGAAGAAAACYGAGAGTTCAGTTTCTTTGACATGGTTTTCATGCTCCACTCACAGGAGACAGGAGACCCCACTTCTACTGAAAACTCTCCCACCTGGTATTTATTGATCAGAAAAMGGTGTACTGGAACTGATACTTTTAGGTTTAAGCCAGTAATTCATGACATACTTTAATGACCCAAGTTTCCATGACATGCTGTTCAACGGTGATTATTGCCAGAACAAGATCTGCTAACAAGAATCATTCTTAGATGTCACTTGTGTTTATCTTTGTGTTGTCCCTTGACCCAGCATTTCCTTAGGATGAAATCTTGCTTTATTAAGATGACATAATAGTGTTTGTTAAACAGTATATATGAGGCCTCAACTGCCTCAAAGAAGCAGGAACAGAGAGCAGACTGTGTTTCCTGTTGGTGCAAATAAAACTCAGCTGATCAGCCCAGGRGTACCTTCATTCTTGGACCACATATTTCTGTCTTTGTTGAATAAATATTTCCATAACAAAGGGATAGGMGTCTAATGAAAACAAAGTAGCTCAGCTGATTTTATTTCAAATCCGTTGCCACTGTTTTGTGATCTGTGTCAAAGTTTATCTGCTACAGTAGTCATTATGCTTAAACAGCAAACATTTTTACTAAAGTCCTGGTCACAATGTGCTTTAACAAAACATTCGATTCAAAATTCAATTTAAAAATACTTTATTGATCTCAGAGGGAAATTAGGCAAAAAAAAACATGTCATTAAATCAAAAGGTTGCTCTTCTAACTACTGGTCACTGAATGTACTGGTTGTTTTGCTTGAATCATCCTGTGTTATCCCAGCTAGTTTTGTGTGTTTGATTGTTCATTCTGTGTTCTGTTGTCACAATCAGCACCCTAAGTGTCACAGAGTGATTATTGGTCAAAAGTATTTGCATTTTTCCCCGAGCATGAACCCATATACTTATTTTTTGTAACGACTTTCAAATGCTCTATCAGACTGATTTTAAATTGCACTTCCAGAGCAATTGAATTTTTGTCCTGAAGCAGGGTGAAGTCTTTTTTTTTCTTTTGAATTATGTGAAGGAACAGCCTAATACTTTATCTCAACAAGTGAAGGAGGGTCAGAGGTCTCTGTTCATTAGTCTTCATCACTGCATCACAGAATATGAACTAAACACTGGTGCAAACATTAGGAACACTTTTTTTAAAAAAGTCCCACAATATACTGTATACTACGACTAAACAATATGGCAAATCTATCATTGCATTAATACCACAAATGACTACATGAACTGCAGTATATTATGTGCTTTTCATTCATGTTCTGCATGCTATCAAATATTTAGTCAATTTAATGGACTCTTACTTAGACTTGATGACCACACCTGGTTTAGATGACAGTGATGACCGAAGAGAAAGCGAGCAGTGAGGAAAATGTGGGTTTAAGTTTTGTTTTATTTAAAAGATCACAGAACTCTTTTTCAATGAAAGCCTGAGAACATGCAAAGATCCCAGACCCAACCTGGGGGCTTAAACCCATGACCTTCTTGCTAATAAGATTGTTAACCACTTTGTTGGGCTCCTAAATTAAACAATGTCAATTGAATAAAATACAATTTAGGAGCCCAACAGTTTTTGCAGTATTAAACAGTAAAATTGCACAAAACACATTTCCTAATATAACACAGCCCTACTTTATGCCATGTATCACAATAAAACCTAAAATACTGTGATAATAACAGTTTTAGCTCAGTTTGACCAGACCTGGATGTAAGGACATCACGCCCACGTCTTTCCTGAAATCTATTAATTAATTAATTAATTAATTAATTAATTAATTAATTAATTAATTAATTAATTAATTAATTTTTGCAGAAGTCGTTCTACTTCAGAATATATGAAGACTCTTCCAGTAAAAAATATCTTGAATGTGGATGGTCTTTGAATGATTTTGGCTAAGTCTTGAGGCTTATATTAAGACCACAGTGTGCTCCACATTACACCTGACAGTATATGTAGTATTTGCATAGTAAGGATGGAGGCTTATCACAGTGATGGCAATAATATTAGCTTTCTGAAATGAAGCCAGTATTATAAAACCACAAGAGGAATAGAGTATATCCCAGAAATATTGACTTACTCACTATGCATGAAATGTGTCAGACACTCATTCTGAATCTGGAGAATTATCACTACATCATGCCCTCAAGCTGTGCTGCAGGCTTACATATACTGACCATTGCAGCTCTGTCTCCACCTCCGCTGACAGCTCAGAGGCATAAAAACAGAAAGTTTATTCCAAAATAAAGAAAAAAATATTGAAATCTCTTTTTCAAAGATAACCTGAGCATAAGGTCAGTAAAGCTGACTTCATCGCCATCCTCCCTCTTTGGTTCTTTTATTATTCACATTGAAAATAAAAAGACATCTGATCCGGAGTGTTTTTGTTAAAAGGTCCAATGACTCCAAAGGAAATGACCACAGTCACTTGTGCAAATATGCTTAACATCACTTTGAATCTTTCTTCCTGCAATTTTCAGCTCAAGTGTATTTTGCACACATTTTAAGATTACCGTCAGTGTGAGCTCGAGTTTACTTGATACTTGAATCATTTGATATTTTTT